GGGGGTGGGGCCTCAGCCGTCCCAGCTCGTAGTGACTCCGGGAGCCAGCCGTGCCGTGGCTCTGCATTTTAAATGCAGTGAGAGTCACCGGGCTCTTATGCAGCGTCCTGGACCAGTGCGAGCCAGGACTGCTCGGTCCTGGCTCACACCAAGTCCAGCAGCCCCAGTTCATGGCGGGCAGCCCTGTCCCCACCCCCCACTGCCTCTGATAAAGGCAGCATGGGGGACAGATGGCACCGCAGAGATGGTGCTGGGGGGAACTGGCTTTTAAGCCGGCTCCCCCCAGCACCGGCTCCTGTTCCCCACCCCCCTTGCTGCCACTCAGCCTCTCTGCCCTTTTCCTGGGACTTCCGGTTGTCCTGGCACAACTAACCCCAACCTTGTTTAAGTTAGGAGGAAGGGAAGCTGCCGACCAAACGTAGTGGTGCTAGCTCTACACTTAGGAGGCGTTCTTGACTAAGCGGCCTCGCAGACAGACACACAGACAGGCAGACACACTCTAAAATACAGACAGACAGGGACCGACCGACCGATGCCCTCTGGCTCCGAAGGGTGCTTGATCTAACACTGTGGTTCTTAGCGTTCACACGCACGCGGCGCGTCATCCATAGCGTCACCTAGGACGCAACCGCGTTGTGTTGCCAGTAACTTCCGTCTGAGGCTTTGAGCGTCAGTGTAGCTCCGCCGTCGTGCTGAGCGGTTGCTGTGTCGTTTGCCCTGTGCTACATGTGCTGGAGGTGGGCCACAAACATTTTTTGATTGGCCTGGTGGTCCGTGGACTGAAACGAGTTGAGAACCACTGAATAACAGGACTTCCCCACTCTCTACCTTCTCCACTAGCTTCAAGTGGAGTTTCTGACGCTTGCACTGCGGCTCCCTGAGGAGTGTCTGTGGGCACAGGTGACACACGAGGGGCAGGAGGGGTCACGTGACCCCCAAATGCTGTGGGTGGAAGGGGCTGGCGGAGCACCTAGTGGGGGCTGGCGCCCACAGCAGGGGTCTGCCCCAGCCCGCACTCACTGGCAGGGCAGGGCAATGGGAGCAACAGCCCCAGCTGTGTTGCTCAGGGCGGGGATAGGACCACCCCGCAGTCACCCGCAGTCACTACGTACGCTGGGGTCACATTGCTCCACTTCCCCTGTTGCTGCTGGACCCGCACTGCCAGTGCCTGCCCCACTAGTCCCCCAGGCCACATCACTTGGGCAGGGCAGGGCAGGGCAGGGCAGGGAGAGGTGGCACCTGGGGCAGAAGGAGGCTGTCCTGACCCGTCCCTGGGCTGGGGGGGAGGGGTCCCACGTGGCCCCTCTGTCCCCCTTCACCCGTCATTGTGTCTGGGGGAGGGTAAACCCGGAGCCCTCGTCTCTGGCGCAGACACACAAGTGTGCTCTCTTGGGTTTTGGACAGTTCACGAAGAGCCTTTCGAACAGATGCAAGAGGAGCTGATGAAAGTGTTAGAGGCCAGGAAACTGAACGCCAGCGCTGTGCTACATCTCCAGCCCGAGGAGCCTTCGCCCCAGAGCGACAATGCACCCGCAGTGCCGGGGGCTAGCCGGGGTCTGCCTAACGCTGCTGTGGATCTCGACAAGCCAGGAGAGCTTCTTGCCGGCGTAAATTACCTTTTCTTCAAACACCTGTCCCGGCCGGGGGAAAGGAACAGCGCGGAACTGGCCGTCTTGCCGGGTTCTAGACTGCTGAATTTCAATGTCCACCAAGGAGAGGGGCTTTTGAAACTTCTTGCAGACCAAGCCAGCCTGCTGGCGCGGCCCGACTTCGAGCACATGGACTGGGCCAGCGAAGGTGAATTGAGGAAGCTCTACATGTTGGCCAGCCTGCTCGCAGCAGAGCTCCAAGAAAAATTAAAGAAGGTGGAAAACGGCAGCGGCATAAGCACGGCCAGAGCTGTGCTCGAGCCCTTCCTGACGACGCCTGCCACGCACGAGAGCCAGGCCCACAGAACTGGGTGGCAAACTCCAGCCGTGCCTGGGCACCTGAGAGGCCTTCTGAAAGCCACACGGCTGTGTGGGGAACTCGCCGAGCAATGCACCAAGGCTTTATCTGGGCACAGGCACGGCCGGAAGAACACTCCGGAGAGAACAAAGCAATGTGAGGACTACCAGGTGAAATGTGCGAGGGAGGGGAAGGAGGAAAAACCACCCATCAAGGGGGAACGAGCCACCCGGGGCGCCCAAGAAGAGAGGTGCAAGGGGCCTGCTTGTGGGTTTAGCCGACTCCGAAGAGAACCGAAGGCGGCATTTAAGAGTCAGATGCAAATGCTAAGTGACTGGGATTTGCAGCACATGGTACAAAGGAGGAAGAACATGGCTGGAAGTTTAAATCCCTCTGGCACAGTTCCTGTCTCCAGACATCCCGAAATACCCCAGAGACACTCCCTAGCACACCTGCCTACACAGGCCTCTCGCTTGGCCGTCTCGTTTAAGGTCGAAAACACTTCGGAGGATTTAACAGGCAAAATCATTATTTTCTTGGAACATGCCAATAAAACTGGTGGGAAGAAAGAGCTGGCTCTAAAGTTGAAGCAGGCACCCCTTAGAAAACCCCCCAAAGTTTTTATTTTCAGAAAACATGGCCAGAAAGGGAGTCCCCATTTCAACAGACATAATAATCTTTTCCAGAAGCCATTTCATCGAGTGAATTCAGAGGTCAGGCCCATGCTGCTGGAAAGAAAACAAAAGCCGGGGAGGAAGAGTAAACACCCTGCAATCCATGTGCTGTCCCACCGAAAGAGGCCTGCTTTGGCCAATGCTGCCCTGAAGAAGCCATCGGTAAACACAGACTCTTCGCTGGATGGTCTCTTACCGAGCATTCACCGAGCGAACGAAACACACTGGAAGCACCAACCAGAGAGCTCCACTCGCCCCTACGCACTGCCCGGTTCCTCAGCCCCAGATAACTACTCGGTGCAAGGAGACCTCTTTGAAGCCGAGCTGAATGGCCGGCTGCGCTCCCTCATCCCAAACCAGGCAGTGAGAAACCTCATCTCCCACGTGATCCGAACCCTGAAAATGGACTGCACGGAGCCCCGGGTGCAGCTGGCCTGCGCCAAGCTCATCTCTAAGACGGGCCTGCTCATGAAGCTGTTCAGCGAGAGGGAGGACATCAAAGAGAGCTCCCCGCTGTGGCGCGCCTACCTCTGGGAGAGCGAGCAGCCCCCCAACCCCGGCCCCCGCCACAGGGAAGCTGGCAAGACCGATGCCGAGGAGGTAAGCACCCCGACGCCCCGGAGGGGCTGGAGAGAGCGCGGCGGCAGCTCCCAGTCCCACCTGTGGGCATGCCTTTCTGTTCCAGTTCCCCCCGGAGCCTCCCCAGTACAGCTATGGCAACAAGCTGCTGCTGGCCATCTCGGTGACGGTCGTCATCATGATCATTATTGCAGTGATTTGCCTCATCGAGGTAAGCCAAAAAGCCGTGGGGTGGGGCGAGTGGCCACTGCGGGAGGCGCGGCGGCAGCTCCCAGTCCCACCTGTGGGCATGCCTTTCTGTTCCAGTTCCCCCCGGAGCCTCCCCAGTACAGCTATGGCAACAAGCTGCTGCTGGCCATCTCGGTGACGGTCGTCATCATGATCATTATTGCAGTGATTTGCCTCATCGAGGTAAGCCAAAAAGCCGTGGGGTGGGGCGAGTGGCCACTGCGGGAGTCCTCACTGCACCGACTCAGGGCTCTGACCCCTGGCTTTCACCAGCTGCCAGAAACCAGCCAGAGCAGCCCTGTGGGGCCTGCCTCTGCACAGTCCTGGGGGGCGGCTGGAGCCCCGGGCGTGGACTTTTATTTGCCTGGGGTGTTCCACAGAATCCCGGGGCGGGCAGAGCCCTCAGGAGTCATCCAGTCCAGCCCCATCCCCAAGCAGGACCAACCCCGACTCAGTCATCCCAGCCCTGCTCCATCCCTTCCCCCACGGTCCCACTCTTGCTCCGCCTCTTCCTGCCCCTAACTCCGCCCAGTTCCCCGAGGTCCCACCCTTGCTCCGCCTCTTCCTGCCCCACTCTGCCCAGTTCCTCGAGGTCCTGCCCTTTCTCCGCCTCTTCCTGCCCCTAACTCTGCCCAGTTCCTCGAGGTCCTGCCCTTGCTCCGCCTCTTCTTGCCCCTAACTCCGCCCAGTTCCCCGAGGTCCCGCCCTTGCTCCGCCTCTTCCTGCCCCTAACTCCGCCCAGTTCCCCGAGGTCCCGCCCTTGCTCCGCCTCTTCCTGCCCCTAACTCCGCCCAGTTCCCCGAGGTCCCACCCTTGCTCCGCCTCTTCCTGCCCCACTCTGCCCAGTTCCTCGAGGTCCCGCCCTTGCTCCGCCTCTTCTTGCCCCTAACTCCGCCCAGTTCCCCGAGGTCCCACCCTTGCTCCGCCTCTTCTTGCCCCTAACTCCGCCCAGTTCCCCGAGGTCCCACCCTTGCTCCGCCTCTTCTTGCCCCTAACTCCGCCCAGTTCCCCGAGGTCCCACCCTTGCTCCGCCTCTTCTTGCCCCTAACTCCGCCCAGTTCCCCGAGGTCCCACCCTTGCTCCGCCTCTTCTTGCCCCTAACTCCGCCCAGTTCCCCGAGGTCCCACCCTTGCTCCGCCTCTTTCTGCCCCTAACTCTGCCCAGTTTCCTGAGGTCCCACCCTTGTCGCCCAGTTCCCCGAGGTCCCGCCCTTGCTCCGCCTCTTCCTGCCCCTAACTCCGCCCAGTTCCCCGAGGTCCCGCCCTTGCTCCGCCTCTTCCTGCCCCTAACTCCGCCCAGTTCCTCGAGGTCCTGTTTCCCTTCTCCCCAGCAGGCTGGACTATATTTCCCATGATGCACTCCTGTCTCCCTCCTGGAGTGGGGCGTCATGTGAGCTTCTGGCTCTGGAGTGTGTCGTCTCCTAGTGAGACCACCCATTGGGGAGAGCCGGGCCACTCACTGAAACTACCACATGGCAGAGGCACGTCCACTGCGTGAGGGTGAAATGAACAACCCGACTTTTCAGCAAACGCACTTTCCCTGCAACCTGCTGTTTAGCTGAAGAACAAATTCCAGCCAATGGTGCAGAGAGAAAGCGCTCGCCTCGCTGCCGCTCAGTAGCCAGGAGCCCGGTGCAGCAGGGACAACGCCCAGCAGCTCTTGTTTAGGAGTCTTTTTTTCTTCTTAAGCAGATTTGTTCCCAAAGATCGGCATCTTCTCAGTCAACGCATGATAAAAAGCCTCCGTCACTCTGGTAATTGTTCTCTCGCAGAGTAACAGAGACAGCTGTTTGCTCTTGCTAATCTCAGGACCTTGCAAACCTTCCCACTAGTGCGGAGAGGAGTCACAAGGCACCCACTCGGATAGAAAAGCTTCCCCTTTAGCAAACCCAGGGCCCCGCTCCAAAGAGTGAGAGATCCCAGCTGCTGACTAAGAAGCTCAGACCTCTGCAGGCCCCTCCCCAGAAGCTGCTCTTTGCTCAGCAATTGATTAATTAATTAACTAATCCCGTGGGACAGCTACCCGCTGCTGGGACAGGTTCCCCGCTGTCCCGGCCCAGTAGCCGATCCCAAGGCAGCAGTTTGCCGGGGAGCTGGGATCCATCAGCTCTGCCCAGCTCCTACCGAATTTGTTAAATCTTTCGGCGAATGCCCTCAGGCCTGATGCTCAGTGGGCCCTGCTCCGGATCAGGTGTCCGGCAGCCCAGCTGGAATGGAAAACGGAGGAGCAGACTCCTGCGCTCTCCTAGGCCGGGGCCTCCCCGGCTGAGAGGCTCCCCTGGCCAGCACAGCCCTGCCCCCGTGTCCCTCAGCCAGGGTGACCCTCCTGCAGCGTGGGAAGCTGAGGCACAAGGAGACATTGCTCCTCCGCTGGCCCAGCGCTTGAACCGAGGGTTTTCTGCGCCCGCCTGGCTGCTCGTCCTCTTGCCTGGCACTGGGGCCACACGGACACCGCAGGCCTGAGGCTCTCAGCTGTCCTGGGGGAGGCTGCTCCTGCCCCTGGGAGCGGAGGGCTCTGAGCCCCATGGCCCTCGTTCACATGAGCCATGGAGCAGCCTGCACCCGCCCCTCAAA